TGATTTATCTTGGGCTTCCTAGATGATCATTTTGCTCATAAGTTTGTAATTTTAGTTTGTCTCTTTATGTAGTCCTGCCGTGCATAGTTGGCCCGATTGTCAGTGTAACTGATTGTGGGATATTTATATTAGGTTTTAATTTGTGATGGATTTTGTAGAGAATATGAAACAAAAGGTTGTATGTTAATTGTCACGAAATAGATGTTACAAAATTGTTATAATTGTCTCGTCAGGTTGTAACAAAATATTATTTTAACGGACATGTGATCAATTTTTTATCGCGAAAAGATGTTGTGCATATCAGAAAAATATTCGACTAGCTTTGTTACAAATAGACTTTTAATTTTTGTCACGAACAAGTACCCGTAACAAAAATTGATACGAAAAGATGTTGCAACTGTCATAAAACCTTTATACCACATCATTTGTTACGACAATGAATTGTTAAAAAAACGATTCTACTTTTTGTCGCATACAAAAAAGTGTAACAAAAAGTCCTCCCACTAGCGTTTACCATTACTCTTTTGTTACAACATTTGTTGCGACACCAACGTTTTGTTACTCGAGTAGACATACAAACCAAAATCCGCAACAAAATCGTCACAAATAGTTTTTTCATGAAAAATAAGCATTTGTAACGGATTTAATTCCGCTAGAAATAAACATTATTTTTGTAGTGTATATATATATATTTTTAAGAAAAATAGTATGCCTTTTGTCCCACTTAATTTGTCATTTCTTTCTATTTCCGTTTGTTCCACATAATTTGTCATTTCTTTTTTTGAAAATATAATTATACACTTTAATCACATTTTTAATTTTAATCTATAATTATTTTTATTAAATCATAATTATTTTTATTAATAAACTCCTTAATTACATACTAATTAACTAGGACGGAGGGAGTAGTTTGGATAATAAAAATATATTAATAAATCATTTGTAACTTATAAGTTTTTTATTTATTGTTTTGGTTTGTTTGTTTGTGGACGGTAAATAAATAAATAAATAAATGATGCATATTTGTTAGTGATATCGTCATTACATTATCTAAGATGCTATTAGAATCTTAGGTCTCGAGTTCGATTCCCTTCCATTGTAGTTATTTAAAATCTTTATTATATATATTTGATGTTTCGAGATTAAATGTATTTAGTTGATATTTTTTATTTTAATTTTGGTATATGCTGTGAAAAATATATGGATGTGATTTTTTTAATAAAATAATCTATTTTTATGAAAAAACATTTATGAGAATTGAATAATTATTTTAAACTTGCTAACTAAAGATATGTTTTTAAAGAAAATTAGTATTTTAATGGTGTTTTTCAAACAAAATGGCAATACTAAAATTTAAATTAACAATACAAAAAAAAAATGTCCGGGGAACAAAACTTCTAATTTTCAAATTTGAATCCCACAATCAAAAACCAAAAGTTACCTAAAAATTGAAAAAAATAATGGTATTAACAAACAAATAGTATTGAAAATTAAATTAATTAGTTACCATGTATTTTTCATGTTTATTTAATTCTAATATAATTTAGTAAATGTCCGGATAATTATTTACAAATTTATTATACCATCCTTTTATTCATGCATGCTGAATTTATTGTTACTACAGAAAATAATTAGTTTTACAAAAGAGTGTATTTATTTATGAAATTTTGATTTTTGGTTTTCGTTTTGAATTGAAAATATTTATTTAATGCGATATAAATATGTATTGATGTTATTTTTTAATATAAAAATCAATTTTAATGAAATATAATAAATAAAAAAATAGGCATTTGAATTGATATTTTTGAAAAATAAATAAATAAAATAAAGCCATGATAAAATCACACGAGTAAAAAAATTTTAATTTGTTTTTAATAACCCCTCCTACTAACATATATTTTTAAATCAGTAATATATAATTGACCCTCCCTGCACAAGTATATAATAAACTTATCAAGAAATTATCAGTAATTCAAAATTAAATATAACAAATCTTGTATTTAGAATTAATTTTTTTTATTTGAATTTACTTGTATAATATTTCATATAAATAAATAATTATTTTTAATGATAATCGTTAAAACTGCATATTAAAAAACTTGAGTTTGGGTGCAAATCCAAACAAACCCGAACTCCGGATATTATATGGGTTCTTTTTGTGTTTTATTTTAAATTTTGAATTTCATATTTAAGTTATATAATATTTTGATATGGTATTTTATGAGGTTGAATATTGTACTTTATATATAAAAAAATTTATAGTGATTGAATAATAAAAAAATTGGAATGGAAGTGAAGACATTACTTTTCACCGTTTATAAGTACAAAATTAATTCAGTGATAAAAGTGATGAACTAATTGAAAATTTAAAATTGATACAAGTCATTCTGTTAACTTTGAATGTTTTTTAATAATGTATTTCATAATGAAATAGTCATTCCATGAAAATTAGTTACATTGTACAATATAAAAAAAATGTAATGATTTTTTATCCACCGTCCAAGTAAAAAATATATATTTACTCTTGGCGTGGAGTTTAAAAAATAATATTATTTTAATTATAATGGATTGGTAATAGTACTGTAATGATATTTTTGTCCTTACTTTTTGGTATAAAAACAATGATTTGATATAAAGTAGGAGATTTGTGGAAAAAAATGGAGTATTTAATAAAATAGTTACTTTATAATTGAACGTCTCAAAATAGAAATATGTATATTTTTTAGTTGTACGAAAGAAGTATAATTTATCTATGTCCATTTTAATTAATTATATTTCGGACTTAAATTTTGATAAAGTAGACCATATATATATACACACAATACAATTGTTATAATTCTTTATACTAGTAAATTAAAAAATAATACTCCCTCCGTCTAAAAACTATAGTCTGGGTTGTATTTGGCGTGGGATTTAAGGAATATTGATATTATATTGGTAGTAGATAAAAGGTACGGGTAAAAGACTTTTTTGCCCTTGTTAGTGTATTAGTGTAAAAAGTAGAAGCAATTGTGTAATAATAATGAAAAAGTAAAGGTAATTTTACAGTGATATAATTATTTATAAAAATAAGACTATTGTTTTGGAACGGACAAAAATAGTAAACAAGACTTTGTATTGGGACAGAGGGAGTAATATTTTATTAGTAGTAGAAGTGTGTAAAATGATTTTGATGTTTTTGCCTTCTTACTTTATGTATATATGCAATAATATGTTTATAATTTATAAGAAATGTTAAAGATACTTGATATTAGTGTGTAATTATTTTTATTATAGTAAAAATAACTACTTTTGAGTAGAAAAAAGAAAATAATAAATAGAATACTTTCAGTTGGGACCGAGGAGGTAATTTTTTTTTAGTATAAATATTGCATCAAACTATTATTTAAGCTAGAATTAAGATATATATATATATATATATATAAAAGAACATTTAGAAGAAGAAGAAGATGATTTATACTTATGATGGAAGTGTATATATAGACAATAATTTACAAGATTGACAAGTGGATAGAAATTGATGAAGATCGAAATAACAATGTTGCTCGATAATTATGTGTTTTTAAAAACACTGTTAGAACTTACAACAAATATTTATTTTCACTAATACAAAGTATTGAGTATATGCATAACAACAAACACATGTAATATATCGTTGTTAAATATAAATTTCAAGATCTTTCTTACACACTCCAAAAGTTTATATTTAAAGGTTTCACGAATAAGCAAGAAATGAAGGAAAATTGATAAGATTATTATATAATTCTACATGTTTCTAAGTACATGAATTTTGATTGTGAAATATTTATCTTACTAAATGTGTATATTAAAGAAAAATAATATATATGTATATATACTTAAGTATATATTCTAGTGTTGTCATACATTCATTATGAAATATAAATTATTAGATTTTATAAATTTTTAAAGAGTCAAATAAGTATACGAGTAATGAATAAAAATCTATACAGTAAGTTTGTTAAATAATTCTGTGTTTTTAAGTACACTATGACGACCATCAAATACTTGTATTTAGTAAATATATATAATTTTATACATTAAGAATTATAATTTTGTAAGTATATGTGTTGTGATATATATTTTTTTATATTAAATACAAATTTATATTATTAGGACACATGTTATGCTACACATTTATTTTCACTATATACGTTATTTATATTTAACAAGAAATCTCAATTTTTGTAAGTGAATTACGATCGAGACAAATAAATATTTATACTAAATGTAAACATTAAATTTTGTACGGGAAATAAGTTTATACTTTTGTAATCAAGTGTACATACACTTCATCTCTATTAAATACAAATAACTAGATCCATACTTTATATAAATCGTTATATTGGTGTATTTGTGCGTGTTACGACAAAAAAAATATTTTTCTATTAGATATAAATAATTAGATTCCATGTTCTAAAATAATTTATATATGATAAAAGTAAATAATGTATTGACAAACAAATATATATCTTGAATTTGTGGTATAATATAATGGTAAAAAAAATAATATTTTATACCTATGAAAATTGACAAATAATTCCACTATCAAAATTATACATAAAATATTGCATTTTAATCCTCAATTCACCCATTGGAATACAATAAGCTCATTTGATTTATATGATATTTTAAGATAATATTTTGTGAAAAAAATAATATATTTCTATAAAGTAAGATATAAACTTAATAGTATTATATTTTTGTTTCAAACATTCAAATACATCCAACAATTACAACAAAAATCTAAAGGTATTAAAAGAATTATAAATAAGCATTAATTAACTTTGACTGTAATTATCTTAATGAATCATACAGTAACCATTTATTTTCTCAATTCATTTGAGAAAATAATTATCATACCAAAACATAGAGAAATTGAGATAAATTTATATTTATTGCAATTTTCCTTAAAAATCCAATCCTCTTGTGTATATACACACGCTATTTTTGTCTCTAAAAAAACATCACATACAAGCAAAATGACTCGGAAGAGAATAAAACATGAGCAACTCCCTAATGAAAATAAGCGAAACTCTATCCTCTCCAAAAGAGCCGAAGGGCTGGTCAAGAAGGCTGAGCAATTGCAGATTCTTTGTGGCGTTGACATTGCCATCATTGGCCACCGGCAGACGGGCGAAAGCAATGCCATTCTTTGGCCATCACCAGAGGCTGTGGCTGAGCGGGTGAATAAATTCATGGAGTTTCCGACAATTGAAAGAAATAAAAAAATGGTAACTCATGAAAAGTATGTCGAGCAAAATGTCAACAGTGAAAGGGAGAACATGGCTAAGTTAAAGAGGGCCACGGAAGTGAAGGAGGGCCATCACTTGCTGGCCAAAAAGCCGGTGGACATGATGCAGATGCTGGAGCTGGATTTGGTGGAGGAGATGGTGGCGGAGATGCTTAAGAATCTGAAAGTGAGGGCTGCAGAAGTTGGGCTGCCGACGCCGGCAGATTCTAGGGCCAGGACAGGGGCAGCGCCAGCAACGGAGGCTGAAGATCAGGGCCTGATGAGGGCGATTGTCGCGGTGGGGGCCGATAAGTGGTTCTCTAACAGCCCTGGAGGCAGCAGTGATGGCACCGGTGGTTCTTCTCTTGGGTTTGGAGGTTTCTCAAGTGCCACTGCTGCCAGCGGTTCTTCTTCTAGTTTTGTAGGGTTTCCTGGTGGCGCCACTGCTATTGGTGGTTCCTCTTCTGGTGTTGGAGGATTTTCTGGTGCCACTGTTGCTGCCGGATCTTCTTCTAGTTTTGCAAGGTTTTGTACTGGCATTGCTGCCGTTGGTGGTTCATCTACTGGTTTTGGGGGATTTTTCAGTGCTGGTGCTGCTGGAGGTTCTTCTTCTGTTTATGCAGGATTTTCCGGTGATGCTTTTGCTGGCAGTTCTTCTTCTAGATTTGCGGGGTTCTCTGGTGGCGCCGTTGTTGGAGGTAGTTCTTCTGGATTTGGAGGGTTTTCTGGTGGCACCACTGGTGGTGGTGGTAGTTCTTCTGGTTTTGGAGGATTTTCCAATGCCGCTGCTGCTGGGGGTTCCTCCGGTGGTTTTGGAGGATTTTCCAGTATCAATGCTGATGATTTCGAGTCTTCCAGTGATTTGGAAAGGTTTTTTGATGGCGATGCCGATGATGCCTCCGGCGCTTCCTCCAGTGGTTTTGGAGGTTTCTCTGGTGTCGATGGTGGCTTCTCCGGTGGCGTTGGCGGATCTTCCGGTGGAAATATTTAATAGGTATTGGGTTGCAGCATATATGATTGGTTGGCAGTAATATATATGATTGTTATTATTTTACCAGTATTGATTTTTACAGTTATATGTGATAAGTTAAACAATCATCTTTTTTATGAAAGAATAATACTCAATCATTCATTACTGTCACAAAATGTTCTTCGGAGTAATTTATTGTCAGTGTTTTATATTTAATATATTATGTCAAAAAAATAAAATATTTCATATAATACTATATATCTACATTATTAAGTTTAGAATATCATATTCGAAACTTATCATTTGAGTTTTATATTATAAAAATTACACACATTTCAAAATTACAAATGAGATTGTAGTCTCTTGAGTTTTTAAATTATTATTATTATTATTCAATTTGTTGTTACATCACTAAACACATCATACTTTTGTATTTTTAGACAAAGCAGTATTCAACAATTATTTTGATTCTAATGATATTAAAAGAACAGAAAATATAAGAATAAAAAATAATGTATATTAAATCGTATGCGAACATATTTCAAGTCGTTTAAAAGTTTTGCAAAAGTTACACCTATTTAAACTTTGCACCTTCCTTCTATAAGCACACGGATTATGGAATTTAATTCAATGCATAAATATACAAATAGGTTAAACGTAACCGTAGAATCAAGGATTAAAAAATATATATAAGGGCCAATAGTACTGCAAATTATAAATGTTGAATTTATTCATACAAATTTCAAACACATAGTGTCTTTTATATATATATATATCGCGGCGGTTGGACAATACACCGTATTACTATAAATAACACACCGAATTCATATAATACAAATACAACAGATGAACTAACAACACAAACAATAGTTAATTTCATCAGACCACTACAAAAGTATGTTATCTGTAGAAAATAAGTCTATTACAAAAAGTTGCTTTTGTTACGAAATTTGTCGAGACAAAAATTTTAATGGTTGGTCAGCTCTTTTTTTTTGTGTTTCGATAATTTATCCGTAATAACTACATTTTGAACAAAATCGTAAAAAATAGGTAAGTATTAATTTTTTTTTTAAAATATTTAAAAATATATATATAAAATTATTTTTTTATTTTTTATTTTTTATTTCGTTTCGGTAATTTATCCGTAACAATTATATTTTGGACGGGATGTCTTCATATATATATATATTTGTTACACAATTCAAACCGTAACAAATAGGTAAATATTAAATTTTCTTGTATATTTAAGAAAATCTATATAAAATTATTTTAAAATAAAAATATATTTATTTTGACAATTTATCCGTAACAATTACATTTCGGACGGATGCCATCCTCTGTATATATAAATATTAATTTGTTACTTAATTCAAGTTATAACAAATAAGTCAAGATTAAAATTTTCAATATATATATTTATAGATTATATATAATTATTTTTAAAAATATAAACAAATTTGTTTCGATAATTTATTTGTAACAATTATGTATATCACGAAATGTCAGTCATATATATTTGTATGTGTTGCAAATTGAATCCGTCGTAACAAAAAATTTATTATAATCATAAATAAAAAAAATTGTATACAATTATTTTAAATTTATCATTTAATTACAAAATTTGAATATTACAGACTAAAAATATTTTATTTATTATTTTTATAATTTCATTGTTAATTATGAATTAATTGGTAAAAATAATTAAAATATCTTCAATTTTTTCTAATTAATATTATTTTAAATTTAAAATAAAAATAAAATCAAACATAATTTAAAAACCAAACTTTAACACCGCCGGTCAATTTCTTTCTTCCTCCCATACTTTTCTTTTTCCTCTTTTTCTTTCTCTTTTTTCTTCTTCTTTTCCAATCTTTTATTCTTTCTCCTCTTCCTCCTTTTCTTGTTTTCTTCTTCTTTCTTGGCCTCTTCTTCTTCATTTCTTTTCTTTTTTGTTTATTTATTCTTTGTTTCATCTTCTTCTTTTGCAGAGCAGCCATTGTCCGGATTTTCTATTCATGGTTGACGATTGATTCCATGGATGAAAACTGAAGACGTTAGAGAAGACGCCATCACTACCTAATGGAGCTTTCTGGCAAAAGAAAGAAAGAAGAAGGTGAAGTTGTTTGTACCATGTCTTTGATTTATGAAATTAAAATTCTAGAAAAAATTCTAGAACAACCCATACCACTTAGTCATGCCCATAACTAAGTTGGCCATTATATTTTGTTCCATAAATTCAATTACAGAATTTTCAAACTTATATACGGTGGACTTAGTCACGCTTATGACTAACATTGTATTAACAGTTTGTCAATTTGTATTACTTGTAAAAATCATGTCAAAACTAACTTCTTTGAATGCGCACTTTACGCATTCCATCCCAGAATTCATTTAATCCTAACATTCATTGGTCTCAAATAAATCCGATTACACTAAAATCACTAACATGCCTCTACCTAGAACTAATTCGGAAGCTCTTTATCTTACATAAGGCTTCTTGCCATCATTTGAAAGTGCCTAAACTCTCAAAAGTCTCCAACTTTCTTTCTAGGGTGTGTTTGTTTGGGGGTTTGGATTTTGAGTTAGAATTTGAATAGTAAAAATTTTGAATTTGAATAGTTGTATGATGTGATATAAATAGGTATTGATGTGATGTTTTGAATGTAAAATTGATTTTTAATATAATATAAAAAATAAAAAATAGGTGTTTGATTTAATGTTATTGAAAAAAAAAATAGAAAGAATAATATATTTAAAATCTAATCCCCCAAACAAACACACCCTAGGGGTATCGACCCTAATCATATTGGCCGTTATAATTGTCAATAAAAAGTAAGAAACAATGACTCCCAAAAAAATACTTTGTTTGCATTGGTCTGCACAAATAAGTGTGAACTAACTAAAGATTCTTATTAGAGACTTTCAAAGCCTTCTCAATAGGAAAAAGACTTTTGGATTTGTTTCCATAATTACGCCATTCACACAAATCAATGACACAAGTTTTTAGTATTCCAAGAATCATACTTCTCTTATTTAACAATGGAAATGCCATAGCTTCAAGTCATTTTTTTCTACAACAGTAAGGTAAGGACAAAATTTCCCATATTTGTTACTAACTCCGTCGTCCAATTACGTTTCCATTCTCTTTGTAAATTACAAAAAGAATGAGAAAAAATTTGGCATGGAAAGAGTACTTTAAATTGTAACATTTTCATTGGGTCATATTGACTTTCGCTACAGTTTTGACATATTTATTAATCTTTGACCTTACAAATACAGTTATCAACCAAGATAAAATGCCTACTATCCATTAGTTGTCTAAAGCTCAACAAGTTATATCAAAGATCATGCACAAACTTTGCATTAATGAGAGTCTTGAGTTTACCTTGGTGAGTTTCAGGGTTTAGGGTTTGGGGTTTGGGGTTTGGGGTTTAGGGTTTAGGGTTTAGGGTTTTAGGGTTTAGGGTTTAGGGTTTAGGGTTTTTTTTTTTTTTTTTTTTTTTTTTTTGGCTGGGCTCAAAGAGCTGCCTACGTACCCCAACGGGATCAAGCCATACGTAGTTCTGCAAAGTTCGGTACAAGTGCTGTAAATGTAAATAAAGATTGTAAGCAACTAAAAGCTAACGGAAGCGAAAGCACGGGAGGCCCGCCGCGTCAGCATGGATGAGGCCACGGGTCCTCGCAGGGATGTCCGCCGGCTCAAGGATCCGCGTGTGAGGAAGGGCAACAGAGATGTTCGCCAGGTTGTCCGCCACTTTATTGCCCTCGCGGAAAATATGAGAGATCCTCCACTCGATGCTGCGAAGCTGTAGGCGCAGGTGGTGGAGACAAGGCTGGAGAGTCCAGTGTCCCGTCGAGGAGGAGATGAGAGAGATACTGCTGGCCGAGTCCGTCTCGATCCAGAGAGGGAGGAGGCCGCGGGCAACCGCCAGGTCCACTCCAGATCGAATCGCCTGCAGTTCGGCCAAAGTGTTCGTCGTATTCAAAAGGGGAACTTGGAATGCCACAATTGGGGCGCCGGTGGCATCCCGAATGACGCCCGCGGCTCCAGCGGCGCCTGGATTCCCGAGCGATGCCCCATCAGTGTTGAGTTTGAACCAGCCTGGAGACGGGGCTTCCCAGCGTACCATGACCGGCGGCCGAAGAACCGGAGGTGGGAGTCGAAGACCGAGACTAGAGGCTAGGTGCACCTCCCCAGGCCAGTGCTGACGCTGAAGGAGGCCAGCACGGCCTAAGACCTGCAAATGACAGTGAATACGCCAAATAATCCGGTCAGATGAAATCTGGATACCTCGGTGTTTGGCGTCATTCCGTGCCGTCCAAAGAAACCAGAAGGCCAGGAGCGGTATATAAGTACGGATACTCCGCGCGTGTGGGGAGGACAGACGCCAAGCGGAAACCATCAGGTGGGGCGCATGTGTCCGCGGGATTTGGATATGAAATAGATCAGCAAGATGGCGCCACACGCGCTGGGCAACCGCCGACGAGAAGAATAAGTGCTCGATCGTCTCAGACTCCCGGCAGCACTGGCAGCAAGAGACAATAGGGAGGCCCATCTTCCGTAAGGCCTCATCGACGGGTATCCGACGGCGAAATAAACGCCATAGGAAAACCGACATGGTAGGAGTAAGAAGCGGCGACCACAAGCTGCAAGAGAGCCAGCTCCGTGCTCCAGCAGTTCGGCTCATCTCCCATGCTGAGGATGTAGAGAAAGTACCTGTGGTCGAGGCCTTCCAGATCGGCTGATCCGCAATCTGGAGATCAGAAGGAATCGCCGAGACCTGCTGAACAAGGGTTCCAGGGAGATAAGCTCGGAGGCGCGGCAAGTCCCACGTCCCGTTAACCCACATCTCTTTCACCCGTATCGGCGGAGGGCGGTCCTGGCGGTCAGCGCATAGCGGACGATCTCCACACCAATTATCATACCAGAAGAAGCAGTCCCCACGCCCCAAATTCCAAGTGATCTGAGTCTGTGCCTCATCTCGAACCTGGCAGAGGCGCTTCCAAACCGGGCTGTCGTAGCTCCTGCAGGGTGCAAATCCTGGAAAGGAATTCCGAAAATATTTCTGTTGAAGCGCGCGAGCCCAAAGGGAGGAGCCATCTCT